AGAAAGCCGAGTGCATAGACTATCGCTATGATGTAACAGACCAATCAGTGGATGGCCTTCTCATTTTGCCCCTTTATGGATCCATGCCGACTGGTAAACACACACAGTTGTGTCAGATTGAAGCCAGTGTCAGCTTTGTGTGGTATTACTGTGATGTCATCTTCTTTTCTTTCTTTCTTTTTTCCTGTCTTAGATCAACAACGGCAGATCTTTCAGCCACCACCTCCAGGAATAAGAAAGTGTGTCGTGGCCACAAACATTGCTGCAACCTCTCTCACCATCAATGGCATAAAGTGAGTAAAGACCGTGGGTCCAGTGGTTTAACAGTCTCTCTCACACCTTTTGGCAAACACATCGCCATGCCATTCTTGTCCACATTTAGGTACATTGTGGACAGCGGCTTCGTGAAGCAGCTCAACCACAATTCGAGGGTGGGCATGGATATCTTGGAGGTTGTGCCTATTTCAAAGTGAGTTTCTGAAAAAATTAAGTCATTTTAGACCTGCGTACAGCTTTAACAGAGACTTGATGTATCTTATTTGTAATCAGGAGTGAGGCGCAGCAGAGAGCGGGTCGAGCTGGAAGAACTTCAGCTGGGAAATGTTTCAGAATCTATACCAAGGAATTCTGGGAGAAGTGTATGCCTGAATACACAATTCCAGAGATCCAGAGGACGAGTCTGACCGCTGTGATACTCACGCTGAAGTGCCTGGGAATTCATGATGTCATCAGGTATGTTTTTACCTCATTCTGTCTCAGTTTCTTATTCAGTGTAGTTTAACTAACTTTGCCTTCCTGTTGTCACCGATTTATTCATTAACAAGGTTGATTTGTTTTTAAGGTTTCCTTATCTGGACTGTCCAGAGGAAAGGTTCATACTAGAAGCACTAAAGCAGCTCTACCAGTTTGATGCCATCGACAGGTGAGTACAGTGGATTTAAAAGTCTACACACCTCTATAAAAGTTACATTTTTTGCAATGTAAAATAATGACAGCAAGATAAATCACTTCCAAACTTTAATGTTAACTATAAGATGTGCCACCCAATTAAAAAAACAAACATGAATGCGTAAGTGTGTACACTCTTTTATAATAAGTGATATGACTATGGTCAAAACACATCAATCACCAATCTGCCATCAGTTAAAGTTCAGCTGTTCTTGTAGGATTTTGCTTACATTTACTTTAGTTGCATCTTACAAGCTGGTCCACAAAGAGCTTACAAAGCATCATCGTTGGAAGGACAAAACTTTAGGTCATTAAATACACCACAAAACACAGCAAAGATTATCATCAACAAGTGGAGAAAATATTGTGCAAATGTTACTTCTGTAAATATCCACTCAATGAGCGCTCAAAGTGCTTTCTACCACAAGTTTCATTCATCCAGTCACACGCACTCATACAGTGATTTTATGTATTACTTAAGTGCTTTATAACACTCACATACACTTTGCGGATGCACTGAGGGCAACTGAGGGTTAGGCATCTTGCCCAAGGATACTTCGACATCAGGACTGGAGGAGTCGGAGCAATCCACCAACCATCTGATTGGTAGATAACCCACTCTACTGACTGAGCCACAGTGACATTACTGTGAAAAGGACTACAGGAGCATTAAAGGAGCTGCTGGAACTTCTGGCAAGAACTGGTTGTGCACTACATGTGACAGCAGTCCCTGTGGTTAAGGATGGCAAGATAGAAGCCTTTTCTTATAGAGAAAAACATCTGATCCCAGCTAAATCTTGCATACATTGAACAAACATGAAGTCTTCCAAAAGTGTGTTGGAAAATATGTTATAGTGTGATGTGGCCAAGGCTGAACGTTTTGGTCATAATTCCAAAAGGTTTGTTTGGCAGAAAAAACAGCATTGCACATCACCAAACGAGCACCATACCCATGGTGAACCATGGTGGTGGCAGGAACATGCTTTAGAGGCTGGTTTTCTTAAGCTGAGACTGGAATTTTAGTCAAGTGGGAGGAAATTACAAACAGTTCCAAATATCAGTCATTTTTGTCATAAAATCTTCAGGTGTCTGCTAGAAAGATAAAGAGGAATTTCACCTTTCACCACAACAATCCAAAGTATACATCCAAATCATCAAAGTAATGGCTTCACCAGTAGAAGATTGAAGTTTTAGAATGGCCCAGCACGAGCCCAGACCTAAATTCAATGGAAAATCTCTGAAGTGACCCAAAGAGGGCTGTGCACAGGATACACTCTTGCAATCGGACAGCTTTGGAGCGCTTTTGCAAGGAAGAGTGGGCAAGTTACCAAGTTAACAATTGCTGTGCTGACTCCTACCCAAAAAGGACTCAATTTTGTATTAAAATCAAAAATGTCAACAAAGTGTTAGTGTTCATATTTATGCAACTAGATTATTGTACTTTAAAATTGTTTTTATCTAAGTTTATATTGTTTATCGGTTGAATTATATGTGTTCTAGATCACATTAACCGTGGAAACGATTCTGAAATTATTTATCTTGGTCTTGTGTTTTTTTACATCACGAAACCATGGCATTTTATCAAGGATGTGTAGACTTTTTAAATCCAGTGTATTGTTGTTTTTCCAGGGGCACTAGTGGCAGTCTTGTGTAAATTTCATAAACTCTTATCCTCTTATCTCTTTGATGTTTGGGCTGTAGAAGAGGAAATGTGACAAAGCTTGGGGAGCTGATGGTGGAGTTCCCCCTACACCCAGGCCTCACCAGGGCCCTGCTCAAGGCTGCCTCCCTCGGCTGCCAAGACCTGTTGCTTCCTGTGGCGGCCATGCTGTCGGTGGAGAACATCTTCATCAGGCCAGGTCCGCAGTAAATTTTAATGTTGATAATTTAAAGGAAATGTCTTCTAACAGAGACAATAAGCTATACACACAATACAGTCCATTTATTTACTGATATGCTGGTTTATTTGTGCATGTATTTCACATTCTACCAAATGGGGAAGGCAGGTGACATGGTATGAAATAAAGCTTTCGGCTCACAAAGTGTTGTCTGATCTCTTGTTCCCCTCAGGCCACCCTGATAAGCAGAAAGAGGCAGATAAGAAGCACCGAGCGCTGGCTGCAAAGACTGGCAGTATGAACGACTTTGCCACACTTCTCAATGTCTTTCAGTCTTGCAAATCCAGGTGAAGAAAATAATCGATTAGTACTAGAAGATGCATTTCTATTTTCCACTTCTTCCTCTAGAACTTCACATTGCATGACTTTATCTGTGAGCCGCTGTGTGAGCCTCTTATTTGCTCTATAGTGATCGACCTTCAGCGTGGTGTAAAGAGAACTGGATCCACTGGAGGGCGCTGAAGTCAGCCTTTAGTGTGGAGACTCAGCTACGAGACATCCTCCACCGACTCCAGCAGGTAAAGCTTTTTGACATCACTGCGACGCTCTGCTAATTTGTTCATATTGCTTCTCATTGTTTGTGGATCTGCCTGCTTGCTTTCTAGAAAAAAGATTTCCCTGTAGAAACATTTGATGGCAACAAGAGTGAACTCTTTAGGCGATGCCTCTGCACAGGATACTTCACTAACGTTGCAAGAAGGTATCTGAAATGATGCTATGCGGCCTCATTTGGGGATTTATTATATATAAAAGATAATAAAATCATGGTGGTTGTTGATGTATTGCTTTATCCCATCCCACATAGGTCTATTGGAAAGGTGTTTTGTACAATGGATGGCCATGGATCAATGGTTCACATTCATCCATCCTCATCTGTAAATGATTTTTAAAAATGTTTTTGGTTTAAATAATTCTCTGTATTCAAACTGCAACATAAACGTACTCTGAGTTTTTCTTGTGGCTTCAAGGTATTTGACAAGGAGGGAGAGCTGAACTGGGTCATCTTCCATGATGTGCTGGCGACATCACGGGTGTACATCCGGACTGTCTGTCCTATTCGATATGAGTGGGTGAAAGATTTATTACCCAAGCTCCATGAAGTAGACGCCTATGAACTGAGCAGTGTGGCGAGAGAAGAAGTTACAGCCGAGGAAATGACAAAATGGGAGTCCAGGGAAGCCGCCAAAAGACAATCAGGTTGTTAAAAGTAGAGTCTGAGGCAGAGCCTTCAGCTTTCAGGCCCCTCTTCTGTGAAACCAACTCCCAGTTTGGATTTGACTTCTCTCACCTCTTTTCATGTGTTATACACCACTCTAAATGTAATAATTCTGGTTCTGCAAGAGATTTATTCCTCTTAAAAGGGAGTTTTTTCTTTCCACTATGACCAAGTGCTTGCTTATAAGGGGTCATGGGATTTTCTCTGTATTTGTGTAGGGTCCTTACCTTACACTATAAAGCACTTTGAGGCAACTGTTGGTGTGATTTGGTACTATATTAAATTGAAGAGGATAAAACTGAATTGTCAGAATATGTATTTATGATGTATGTATTTATTTATTGTTATAAATATTGTGGTTCTTGGTCTGTACTCACATTACTGACAGATACCATCAAAAATAGCTCAAAGAGGGTGAATTTAAAAGGGTTAACCTGTGCGGTGCTTTTCTGTTTGTTTTTTTTTAATCTTCCAGAGGTTTCTGATGAGGATGCAATGAAAAAGCTGGAGAAGCGAAACGACGAAACCACAGTGAGCGAAGCTCGTGCTCGCTACTTGCAGCGAAAGCAGCAAAGGCAGCAGAGTAAAGCTCTCTGATGTTTTTAAGGAAGTGATTCATACGCTGGAATACAAAGGAGCAGTTTTAGAAGACATTTAAATAATAAAATGTGGTAATAAAATCGCCTCTGTCTTCTTTAATCCCTCCACTTTACATGCTACACTGCAGCTGTGACTCTGTTTGCTTTTAAAACTCCTAGCTGACTGACTTGAGATCCATTAACATTAATTTGGCTTGTTTCACACGACTGCCTCCCTGTCACTCAGTCCAGCTCTTTCAGGCTAAGGTTACAGCAAAGCACTTGATGTACTTTCACACTGACCGTTCAGGTGCAGTGGACCCCTCTGTGGTCTCGTACGTCACTTCCTTTTAGTGTGAGTCTGCGGGGCCGCTGTACTGTCTGGCTGGGACGGAGGGCTTCAGTGCTAACCTTATTAAACTCCAAAGAGGCGTTTTCTTTTCTCCTGGATTGTTCTTTTTAATTACTTGTCATCGCATTTAACTGCCCGGCACTTCGCACCTTAGTGGAATCTGTTCACTGGTCTGTTCACACACGTTTCAACAGAGCACTGCAGCAGCGACTTGAGCAAGCACGCCGCCGCTACCGCTGTTGTTGTCAGAGAAGAAAACAAGCTCGGCGAGCAGTCCGCTAAGCTGTGTGATCATTGACAGAGTTCAATACACACACGCTTCCAGCGATAACTGAGGGTAGCTCTGCGATAGCGTAGCTCCGAGCCTTTTTAAAGAAGCGACGGCTGGGACTTATTCGTTGTCACTGAAGCCGAGGTAAGAACAACCAGAGTAACGAGAAATACCGCAAACGGCTAACTAACATGCTAACTAGCTGCTAGCTTGAGGGATATTTTGGCTAGCTGCCTTGTTTGGTCGTAATGCGGTCACGGTCAGTGTCCTCGCTGCTACCTGACGCGCCACTTGGCCTAGCTGCACATCGGCTATAATGTTAGCTGGGAGTGTTGTAACTACTCTACTCATAAGCTAGAGAAGCTTTGAGCCCGCTTTGGACTTGGAGGAGTAGCATTTGTTGACTTTGTTTCAGTTAGCTAGCTACACCACTGGAGGATGTGGACGTGTTAACGTTACGGTAATGTTTACGTTTGGCAGCTTGTGGTCGCGCTAAGTACGGTGCTTAGTTTTAAATTTGAATTAAATGATATTTTCCGACAGAGTAGCAGCATATGTGTCTGCTTGCCTCAGTTTCTTTAAGAGTTGCTGCATTTTAGGGCAAAAAACAACCTTAACGCTTGGCTGGTAGTGTTGGGAGGAGAGGTCACGTCTGTAAAAACAAAGGGGTGTAAGTTTACAAGGAAATGTCCTCCTTGTTTATTATCTCAGAGAGCAATTACCTATTATTCTGGCCAAGCTGTGATAACTAAGGATAGTCATAAAAAAAAAAGAAAGTCTGAAGTCGAGGGGAGCTTTATCGGTTTCATCTTTGTAAACAAGGCAGTTCAAACAGTCTTTGTGACTGTACGCACTGTAATATTCAACCCCTTCATTTTCACCGAAACGCTGCGAAATTCCGGTAAACCTATTATCTAACATAAGCTGTTGATTCAGGACTGACCCTGGATCACCAAGGCCTCTCCACAAACATTTAACAAGAGCCGTTGTTGCTTTTTGACATTACACAGCGTTTCAGCCATTTCACTGTTAGATGAGCGGCATTGATTTCCTGATCACTTTCACTTGGCCATTGCTCGAATACGAGGATCTACTACGTTTGGCTATAACGTGACAGGAAAAAAAACAACCAAAAAAACAAAACACCGGGGGGTGGTAAAGATTTGTCAGAGAGATTTGCATGAGATAATGATGACGGCACCCGGAGTGGTCATGAGTCAGTTTTCTTTTGTTGTGGAGTTGCTTTTCAAAGCGGCAGAAGGTGGAGAGTTTACTCAGGCACACTGCTGCAATGACAGCAGTCAGATAGGCATCAAGAGCAACACTTTTTTTTTCTTCTTTGTGCATGTGTGTCAGTTTCAGTTTATGTCTTCACCGTTTTGCTTCCTTTAGGCACCTTGTCTTCTCGTGTTCATTTTCGTTCCCCTGCACCTTAGTGAACATTAAAAACAATTACTTGAGGCTATGTGGTCCTATTCAAAGTGAGGAACCGAATTGTCCATTCAGGGAACGTTTTTAGTAGTTATCGATAACTAACATTACACTCTTTCCATAATCCTGTGCGGCTCTGCGTGTTTCTTATTTAAATGAATGTAGATAACCTATTTAACTTGGCTTTTTAACTGGCTTTGTTGTAGTTTACCTTTCATGCTCTTCTTGGTTATTCTCAATTTAACTGGTGTGCTTGGTTCTTTCCTCCAGGTATTTCTTTCTTTTTTTATTGTTGTTATCTGAGCCACAGTGAGGCACTTGACCAATAAGAACAGCTTGCACAATTTCCACCAACCTGTCTGCAGCCCCCTCCCTACCCAGACAGTCTTCTGCCCCAGCATGAATGAAGTCAGTGTTGTGAGAGAGGGATGGCTCCACAAGAGAGGTAAGGGGACCTTTGTGTCCATCACCTGAGTCTGCATTAAATGACATAATTTTATATTTTAAGTATTAGCTACTTCCCGTGAGCTTGTCAGGGGTTCCTTTATTGACAGAGAACAGCTGTGACAGCCTTATTGGATTCCCAGTGTAATGATGTTCGAGTACATCTATAGGAAAGTCAGACATCACTGGCCTCTCTCTTTAAAAGATAAAAATAAATAAATAATCTGTTTTTCAGGTGAATATATTAAAACATGGCGTCCTCGTTACTTCATCTTAAAGAGCAATGGCTCCTTCATTGGCTACAAAGAGAAGCCTGAGGTGTCCAGTGACCACAACCTCCCACCACTCAACAACTTCTCTGTCGCAGGTCAGCTTTCCCTTCTGGCTGACAAACTTGAGTCAGTGCAATATCTAAACTCTGTTTTATTGTTGGTGCTTTCAGCTGAAGTGTCTGTGCTTTTGCAGAGTGCCAGCTGATGAAGACGGAGCGCCCCAAGCCCAACACGTTTGTCATTCGATGTCTGCAGTGGACCTCCGTTATTGAGCGGACTTTCCATGTAGACAGCAATGAGGAGAGGTAAGACTTATGCTCTCTGTGGGAAAAGTGTCGTTCACAGTGGCTTTAGGCTGGTGCATCTTAAAATTCAATTTACTTGTGAAAATGGCTTTTGTCTGTAATTTGTCTCTCCATACTACATAAATATCCTAAAAATGAACTTAAATATTGTTCAGAGATGACATAAACTCGGCTTGAGCTCAATCAACCTTGTTTTCTTTATCATCATTAGCAGAGTCCTGTTTCACTAGAGCCAGACTCCAGTTATTTATTATTTATATCCAGTTATTATTTAATTGCTCTGAAGTGGATTTTGCCCTTTCTTTTGTTTCAGATACATAACAATTTTAAATAAGTGAACTGATCATACATGTGCGGTCTTGGAGATTACAGATTTAAAACAACAGGAGAGTTTTATATAGCGTTGCCATGGTATCTAAATGTTGGCAATATGTTTTTTAATTTATATGATACAAAATCCTTTGTGTAACCAAGTTGATTTTAGTATGTAGTTTTGATCACATCTTAAAACAGCTTTAAAAGAATAAAAACGGAAAGACACAGAATGGACCAGAATTAATCCAGAGTCGATAAATGGGTCATTGTTAACCACACTCACTGAAAGCCATTTAGTTTCCAAGTATGAGCAGCCATCATAATCTAAAGAGAATTCAGGCCTGATTATTCACCTCTAACCCAAGCATTCGTCATTGGGCTTTGTTTACATCGTCTCTGCCAAGTAGCAAATCCCAGCAGCCCCTAGATGACTAGTACACGGATTATCCTCTACCTAAACTTAGCATGCTAGACTACAGATTTTCCCACTGAGATTTATTTAAATTTTGACTACTTTGATGCATGTGTGTTGCTCCAATCAGGGAGGAATGGATGCGATCGATCCAGGCGGTAGCAAACAGCCTGAAGAGTCAGCAGCAGGATGAGGAGCCCATGGAGATCAAATTTGGCTCCCCGAGTGACAGCAGTGGCATGGAGGACATGGAGATTGCTGTGTCCAAATCCCACACAAAAGTGGTCAGTATTTGCACAAGCAGTGCCTGGCAGCTGAGTGTATGCTGTGTTTGTCCAGCTAAGCTCATCTTTATTGAGCAAGTTGTTCAAACTTTAAGCCTCTTTCTCAAAGCTTTTTTTTCCCTTGGTTTTGATGAAGCAATCTTTAAATGAGTTCAGGGTAACATTTCATTATATATTTTATCCATTGCTAAGTCACTTCAATTGATTTTGAAGATTGTTGAAAATAACAACCAGTGAGGTTGTTATTGAGTATTAAAAACATATAACATGTATAGCTGTTAATGTGTACTGATCAAATACAAGTTTGTTGTTCTGTAAAGAAGTCTTAATTTATGGGGTAAAAGTGTTCCTATCATTTTATGGTCTTATCCCAGCTGAAGTGTTCTGCTTTACTTTGTGTTTGTGCGATATAATTCAAATTGTGATCTGCCTCCTTGTCACCTCCCTTACATGCTGTACACCAGAGGCCTGTACAAGTCTTTGAAGTAATTCTTTGAAATGAATATGAGTCCATCTTGTTGCGTTTGTTTCTCATGCAATATGAAAAATTAGCAATATTTTGAACTACATCATAGCATAACATGTTGCCTGTCATTAACACGAGAAATCAACATGCTAGGATACATCAGCAGTGTCCAGTGGCTGTTACTTTACATTTTAGATAGAGGTAGTTCTGATGTATTTATACATAAGAACACATCCTTCAGTTCGATCAGAGTTCGAAGAGGAAACATTGGTGGCATCTTTGAGAGTTGAGTTTCGTTCAAGAGCACTCGTAGACCCATTAATTTGTCTCGGCTGATCTTTGACCTCTGTTTTCTCAGACTATGAGTGACTTTGACTACCTGAAGCTTCTGGGCAAAGGGACATTTGGTAAAGTGATCCTGGTGAAGGAGAAGGCCACAGGGATGTACTATGCCATGAAAATCCTGCGCAAAGAAGTTATCATTGCTAAAGTGAGTCCTGTCACATCAATATGTGTAGTAGCAGAATTCTGAGCAGTTAGTTAGGTGTTGTTTACACTCCAAGTACTGAATGTGTGTTTATATTTAGGATGAGGTGGCACACACAGTTACAGAAAGCAGAGTTCTCCAAAACACACGGCATCCTTTTCTAACGGTGGGTAATGGTGCATCTATTGTTGTTTCAGTTTCTGCTTTCCTACAATGACTGGACTTTCATCACCATAACACAGTCAGTAATTCATCTTCCATCTTTTACAGACACTAAAATATGCATTTCAAACACACGACCGGCTATGCTTCGTGATGGAGTATGCAAATGGAGGAGAAGTAAGTCTTCCTCTTTCTCTTACTGTTGTGTCATTTCTTTGTGTGACCTTTTTGGAAAATGGCTAGTTGCAGAAGGGCAAAAACACAGAGGACACTGCAGTATTGGGTCACATTAATGAATAAAAAAGAATAGGTTTGATTTGAGAAATGTATTCCAATGTGCCTTTTTTTTTTTTTTTTCTTTCAGGAAATCCAGTGTCTTGAGAGGATTTAAGAATATTTTTTTGAGCTCATTCCTGTTTTTAATTCTCTTGCAGCTCTTCTTTCACTTATCCCGGGACAGAGTATTCACAGAAGACAGGGCTCGATTCTACGGTGCAGAAATAGTGTCAGCACTGGAGTATCTTCATTCACGCAATGTAGTTTACAGGGACCTGAAGGTAGGATGATTTCTGGCTTTGACTGTATAACAGTAATGTATACATATATTAAGGAGGGATATATAGGGATGAGCTAGTAAGGGAGTAATGACTTGATAGCATCATTACTCCATGCAGCATCTCTGATGCAACACATCAAAACATCCAAGTTTTGCAGTCACACTGCAACAGGACAACAAATAAGCACTTTTAATATGTACAATAAGTATGCGATTTTAAATTATTTTCCCAGCATGGCTGTGGGCTGATTTGCCTCTAATTTGAATTTCTCCCTGCACAGCTGGAGAACCTCATGTTAGACAAGGACGGCCACATAAAGATAACAGACTTCGGCTTGTGTAAAGAAGGGATCACAGACGGCGCCACCATGAAAACCTTCTGTGGAACCCCGGAGTACTTGGCACCAGAGGTAATTCAGTGGTTGCTTTTATTGTCATGTGGGTGGTTTGTGGACAGTATGATGTAAAAAGGCACCAGTGACACAGAGCTGGATGAGACAAGTGGGATAGATGATAAACAATATTACCTTGATAAAAGGACCAGTCACAGTATTCAAAGTGGCCATTTTATCAGAGGATGTCTGTTGCCACCTTGTTCCCAATTTTCTTTTGTGATTGAAAAAATGTTTACTGATATTCCTGCACCGCTATTTTCATTGTTTGGTTTCTTTCTCAACACTTTTCATTTCTATCCTGTCAGGTGCTGGAGGACAACGATTATGGTCGAGCAGTGGACTGGTGGGGATTGGGTGTAGTGATGTATGAGATGATGTGTGGCCGATTGCCTTTTTACAACCAGGACCATGAGCGCCTCTTTGAGCTTATCCTAATGGAGGAGATCCGCTTCCCCAAGAACCTGGCTCCTGAGGCCAAGGCCCTGCTGGCAGGCCTGCTTAAAAAAGATCCCAAACAGAGGCAAGTTGTCCCATCACAATAAGCACTACTTTATGAATATTATGAAGAATAATTAGAGAGAGAATTAAATGGCTAAGTTAAACCTTAAAGATTTTTACAGCCACTTAACCAAAAATAAACCGGCTAAAATATGTTTTTGATTAAAGCTTAAAATTCTTGAATGCATGAATATTTATTCATTGTTTTGAACTTTATCTGCAGCATAATGGATACTTGGCAGCAGTTCAGCTGCACTTGTTGCACTCTGTTAGTTTTCTGAATCGTCCACTGTGCTCAGGGGCACCATGTATTCAGCTATAAAAGGAGTAACCATGTTATTTAAGCCCATGTTCTTTCTTGATTTGTTTTGGCTCAGGATAATGGCCATAAACAGGAATGTAATTAATGTTGTTTTGACCAAGCACTGCGTTTCTGGTAATAGTTGGAGAACTGCTAATATTAGCACATTAAGGACTGCCTGCAGGCTTACTAACACATTGTATATGGTAAGGAAATGAAAAATAAATTTGTCTACAAATTGGTAAATATAAGTCAGTGGAGACCAACACAACAAGTATTTGTTGTGCCCATCTAATGACTGTGTTTTGTACATTTATTTGTAGCTGGTGAGTGTGTGGGTGGTGGTGACGATGATGGTGTTTTTGTTGTGTTTACAGGCTCGGAGGTGGTCCAGACGATGCCAAAGAAGTGATGAGCCACAAGTTCTTCACCTCCATTAACTGGCAGGATGTCATTGACAAAAAGGTGAGATGAAAACAAACGATGGGGGAAACTGGATGACCGGCATGCAAACTGACTGATTTCCTTCCTCTCCTCAGCTTATTCCACCCTTCAAGCCACACGTAACGTCCGAGACGGACACGCGCTACTTTGACGACGAGTTCACAGCACAATCTATTACAATAACTCCTCCAGACAAGTGTAAGTGCACTTAAGTGGCTGCTTTTCTTTGTGCTTGGATTTATTTTTCTAAGCAGCTCTGAGGATTTTGTTTTGTTTTTTTACGTCTAGTTTCATCTTTGTATCATCTTCTTCTCTCCCCTCCAGATGACAGTTTAGACGTAGAGGATTCAGATCAGCGTACTCACTTCCCTCAGTTCTCCTACTCTGCCAGCATACGGGAATGATCCCTCAGACTTTTGAATGAGCAGGCAGGCTGACACACGATCACAATCCCACATACACACTTGCACTGCTGAGGAAATTTGAACGACACCAACAATTTAAAAAAAAAAGAAAAAATAACAAAAAAAAATAAAGGAAAAAGAAAGTGGCACAAGACACATTTTCATTCTGTTTTTAACGCACACATACTGGCAAATCAGACAAGACACAGATCATAGTAGTAGGGAATGAACACACACAGACCCCGAATGACTGACCTCAGCAGGTTGGTGTGGATAGACTGGCAGCTTTGTCTCTGTAAGTCCTCTCAGGGCTTGCGTTAGGCTTCCCTGCGGGACCTCTGCTGCAACACATCAGAGCCTTGATACTTTGAAAACCAGGTTATGCCAGCAAGTAACACCTCTTTACCAGCTGTTCCATGCTTCACACACACAAATAAACACACACCAAAATCTACCAACTCATGCACAGACTGCATAAATGTACTTGATAGAGTTTTACAAAACTAGTATAATCAAGATTGGGAAAATCACAGCAATTTGATGATGGGGGAGACAAATTTTGATTTCATCACTTGTTACGGTTTTAAATGTAAAGCCATATTTCTGCATTTTTTTTTTTTAATTTTTTTTTTTAACAAGTGCTCTTTCTGGAACTTGCTGTTACAAATCAAGAGTGGGATTTTCCCTACAGTTGGGTTAAAGGGGGGCAATAAGGAAGAGGAGAAGGGTAAGGAGGGGTTGCCATTACTGTTTGCACTGCTTGTGTGTGTGTGTGTGCGCGTGCGTATGCAAATGGTCGAGCAGATGTGTGAACGTATGTGCATATAGGGTGCAAGAGAATGTATGAACAACCATTTTGAGTCTCAGCCATCCATTCGTGTCTGTTTTTATGCACGATGTTTTGTTTTGTTTTTTAACTCTGAACTTTTGCTGGAATATGGACAAGAGAGGACGCCTCAGAGCACACTAAACACGCTGGGTGTTTTGTTTTTGTTTTTTCTTAAGGGAACAGGCATGTCATTTATGATTGGCTGGCTTACTGCTAAGTTGAATCAGTCTGGATTATAAACTGGGATCGGGTGTATGGCTCACATTTGCTTTAAAATACTGCATTAAATTTATCTTGATGCAGCAGACAAGCTCTTAGCATCCAAAGTGTGCGACTAACTTGTAGCCAGTTGAAAGTCTAAGCAAGTTTTCCTTCAGGCTAGCCGAACTTCCATGTTGAAGCAGTAGGAATAGAAAGGAATTCCCCCCCCCCCCCCACCTTCCGTCTACAGAGACCAATCTAGAGGAGAACAGACATCTACTGCTCTCACTGTCTCACTGGAGAATTTGGCACCAGTCGTTTATTTTCAATCTGTATTATCAATTTTTTTTTTTTTTGTGTGTGTGTGTGTGCTGTTTTGTTTTTTTAATTTAGCCCGTGGGTGTCTCCCCTGTATTTAGAGAATGAGCGTTCAATCATTGGTAAGAGGCCAAAATTTGACTGAGTTGTTAAACACTTCACATGATTCCACCTTTGATGTTTAGTCTTTGTGTTTTTAGGGGTTTTTTTTTTTTTTCTTAAATTCTGTGTTGAAGCACTTAAATCTGTGTAGCTGTACATCTGGAGCAA